GGTGCCTGCTCATGTTGGAGTGGAAGGGAATGAGGAGGTAGACAAGATAGTGAAACATGCTCTTAAGCACACAAATATTGACATACATATACCCTTGAGTAAATATGAAATTAAAGGTTTAATTAAAGTAGCTGTCAGAAAGATATGGCAAGAGAGATGGGATAAAGGTAACAAAGGGTGACATTTGTATAATATAAATAAACAAGTTGGACAAGTAAGAACTGCTTATGGTAATAGAAGGGATGATACAGTTTCTCGATTGAGAATTGGACACTCTACTCTTAATAAATTACTCCAGATGATAGGAAGACATGAATCTGGTCAATGTAATCATTGTGGACTTCCAGAAACTGTAGAGCATGTGCTGATTAACTGTAGGGCATTTGAAAGGGAAAGAATACAGTTAAAAGAGGAATTAAAATCTGACGGCATTAATTCTATGACCTTACAGAATGTGTTAATTGTCTTAATTATGAACACACTGGTTTGTAGTGCAAACAGTTTTACCGTTTACTGCACGTTGTTATTCTTCTCGTTATTTCCCTATAGTGGCTAATGACCCGGAAGTCTCACCCATAGGCTTACTTCCGCGTTGAAGAAAAAGGTGGATAATAGAGAAACAGAAAGCTTTAGGTATAGCATTAACGGGTATGTATGCTAGGATATTCGTGTTAAATTATTATGGATGTTACTTACTGTTGGACCGCTGCTTTTTTATTGCTGATGTGTTTCGTGGAATAGTCTGTGGTTTTGAAGGCTACGCAACTTTATACTTTTCGTGTGTTTACAAATATACGCAATATTATTTTTGTTTTTATTTTTACAGTTGCGTTCAACAAAAAGAGTCATGGTTCAAGCCAAAACCTGGGTTCTGAAGCAGCACTTTGAGGGCTTTCCTAAAGACACCGACTTCGAGCTGAAACTAGAGCAGCTCTCTAAGCCCAAAGATGGAGGTTTGCGATTCTCCGATTTCATATTTTTCCCATATTTGCTCTGTTGCATACCAAGTGGCATTTATTCTTGTTCTTCAGAGGTTCTTCTAGAGGCAGTGTTCCTTAGTGTGGACCCTTACATGCGGTGAGTGCAAAAGCTGTAATGTTAATTAACATGTGCTCTAACATCTTCATCTAAGGTTCTTTTGACATAAAATAAAGTCATACTGATCCTGCATGTTTGAAAATTATTCCTTGTTTGGTTTGTTGTGAATTATTCGATGCATTACTACTTTCCCCTAAATATACTATTCCTAGTTTTTATCTTATTTAATTTCTTCTAGACCATACAGCCGTGTCCGAATGCAAGCAGGAGATGTGATGATCGGAACTCAAGTTGCCAAGTAAGAGAAATAATAATCATTCTGTCCCATAACAGCTGCAACTGACTAACTTTAAACTGTTCAGGTTCTTTCCTCAACATTTTGAGGGAAACCATGACTTCCTGATAAGAGCAAAATGCGAAGTTTCCAACAATTTGGTCATCTGTGACACATTAACGGTCAATGACCGTTATTGTGTAATAAACAGATCAGGAACTGGCAGAATGTTCAAAGTATTGAATGTTTATACTTCAAAGATTGCAAATATTTGACAAGACCAGTTAAATAACATATGTTTGTGTTTAGACTATGCCCTTTTTAAATGAGACAATGCCTCTCCTTCTCCTCCAAATATATTGGAATTGATGATGTATAAACCACTTTTCTGCTTGTATTGTTTACCTACTTAATATGATCAGATAATTTGTAAATCAAAGTGTCTTCTAATATTTTGACTATAGAGTGATTCAAAGTAATAATCCTTCATTTCCTGTGGGCTGCCATGTGGTTGGTCAATGTGGTTGGAGAACACATAATGTGTCAGATGGGAGCGATATCACCAAAGTCTTGGATGCCTGGCCTCAGAGTGTCTCCCTCTCCCATGCCCTTGGAGCCATTGGCATGCCAGGGTAAAACTCACTGCTTCTTTCATACCCACAATTGTTTCTTTTCCAGATGGCTTTAGAAGGTAGGTCAAACGCTTAATCGACTGTGATATAGTCATTTTCTGATATTTCATTTAAGCACATCAAAGAGCATCACAGATGTTGTGAGTCGATATGGTTTGAGTTCGTGGGAAAAATAGGTGTGTATTGTAAATCACTTATGGCTTTACGCAACAAACATTTGTGAACATGTGGGCACATGTTCTCTGCTTTGTGAGATTTGTTTTGGATCGCTTTTAAACATCTCAGAAGTGTTTTTGGCTGATAGCAAATGGATTGTTTTATTCTTTACTGACTGCTCACAAAAGAAGGCATAGCTTAAACAGGAAGCATCCAACACCACAGAGGGGAAATTGCAGTAGGGCATAGGCAGCACATCACAGACTTCACAAATATACATAACTGCACATATCAAAAAATTAATCACAAAAAGAAACATTAATACAAACACTTCCACATAATTGTAACAATTGTAACTTGCACCAATACATTTACTCATTTAGCAGGCGCTTTTATCCCAAGCGATTTATAAATGATGACGATACAACATGCTTCATAGTAAATTCAGCCACTTATAAAATCTGTAGGTAGTACAATTTTAAGTCATTAAGTCCTTAATAAAAATCAAATTGCAAATACAAATGGCTTCTGGTACAAATGTAATACACCCTGTAATAAACTTTACTTACTTTAAACTTTATTTATTACTTTAAACTTAAGAACACTTTCAGGCAGAAAAAAATAAGACACCGAAAATGCCCATTCACACCACGGACGATAACAATAACGATAATTACTGTATACAATTTTAATAATCATTCTAATCCTGTGAGAACTAGGAAGTCCACACCACAACTTTAATGATAACAACACAGATGAATAATTTGTTGGAATCACTTTTAGACAATATTTTCCCAGCTCATGAACCATAAAAACATTGACAGCCAGTCAGAACCCACCCAGTTTTGAGACACTTCAGTATTTAAAATGGCAAATTACATTACTGCAACCAGAATCTTATTGTGCAATGGTGTGGCTGCTAATATTATTATAGTTAGCGGTCATGGTCTGAATGGGGGAAAAGTGTCCCTTTTCTGCTTATTTACAAATTAAATATTCTATTAAATACTCTTTTATTTGAGGCACCACACACAAACATTATATGATAAAATGATACATCAGTATATAATAAATAACATTAACTGTGCTCCACAGGTTGACAGCACTCTATGGTTTGGAGGAGGTCTGTGCCATCAAACCAGGAGAAACCTTACTGGTGAATGCAGCCGCAGGGGCTGTTGGTTCTGTGGCTGGTCAAATTGCCAAACTAAAAGGCTGCAAGGTTGTGGGTTCAGCAGGAGGTGATGACAAGGTGGCATACCTAAAAGAGCTGGGCTTTGACCAGGCCTTCAACTACAAGACTGTCTCTTCACTAGAGGAAGCGCTGAAGAACGCTTCACCTGAAGGATATGACTGCTACTTTGAGAATGTAAGAATTTACTGATACTAGTTGGTTAATAATTTATAAAACTAATGCTCCGTTAACAATACATTTAAAAAAAGACAACTTGACAATCTTAATTATTCAAAGATTTGGTTTGGTTTCCAGGTGGGCGGCCCTTTTTCGAGTGTTGCTATTACACAGATGAAGGCATTTGGCCGTATTGCTGTATGTGGAGGAATATCACTATATAACGACACCACTCAACAAACAGGTTTGGTTAACCTACATTTATATTTAGTCATTTAGCAGACGCTTGCAAAGTACCTCTCATGTGATTCTCGTTTTAACCAGTAGAGGGTGTTCTGAATCACCTTTACACTATAGAATCAATACCTTAGTATAAACAATACAAAAACTGTTTTAGTCATCATTAATGAAACATAAAAGTAGACATGAAGAATTGGGTTGAAGTAGACGTTTGTCCATCTGCAGCAGTGATGTCGATTTGTCTTTTTTAGGTCCTTATCCACAGCTTGAGATGATTTTTAAGCAGTTGAAAATGGAAGGTTTCTTGGTAAGCAGGTGGGAACATAAAAATGAAGAGTCACTGAAGCGAATGTTGACCTGGATGCAAGAGGTACTTCAGAATGCTTGGTTTTCTTGAAAAATGCTAGTTTGGTTGTTATTATACAATGCTTTATCTAAATACAATTTTACTTCATCTCATTAAGTATCATATATTGATAATGATGCCGATTCTCTTGATTTGATGGTTTACAGGGAAAGCTGAAGTGTAAAGAACATGTTACTGTTGGCTTTGAAAACATGCCTGCTGCATTCATGGGGATGCTGCGGGGAGAAAATATCGGAAAAGCCATTGTTAAAGTCTAATGGCAGGTGTTTCAGTGGTTTGTTCATGAAGCAACAGTCTTGCCCTTTTTGTTATAGATACTGCATTATTAATCGTATGTTTTCATGTTGTGTCCTTTATTTTGTTTTACAAATAATAAGTCTGTTTTTGTACATTGAGTGTCACATTTGCAACATTCTCTAGGACAGATATGCACAAAACAGGAAAAAAATTATACTTTTTTTAATATTAGAAGCAGCAAGGAGATTTTGATCTCAAAAGATTAACGTGCATAGGCCTATTACGTCTCTTGCTCAGCATTATTCAGAATTTGTCAATTCTGTCATAAAAAAACTGAGCAGAATATGCCGAGTCAACATGAACTAGAAGAACTACATGAATAACAGCGACAGCATAAAAATCATTAACGGTCTTTAGACGCCCTTTAGTCAGAGTAAGTAAGATGGATACAGACAGGCAAATAATGACGCTTTGTAGAGGTTTCTAAAAAGTTATTTTGATATATAAATAAATGCATGATCTTAAAAAAAATTATTTGGTATTTTTACAACCTGCACTGGGTGGTTGGTGGTAATGTACAGTGACACAACACAAATATCTGTCTGAACGCTGACATCTTGTGGCTATTTATGAAGGAATCGTAGTTCATAGTGAATATTCATGAAGAAGAGACGGTCATCTTATGTGCGGGGCGAAGAAAAGAATTGTGTATTTCATCCATGACAAAATGTGTAGTAGTGTTATTTGTTACATTGATTAAGAATATATTCAAATACATTTTAGAATTACACATTTCATTTTAGTGGTATATGGAATAATGATTTTGATTTGGGCCTCTAGGTGGGATCACGCTGCTTTGTTATATAGAATGACATGCAATGTATATGCAATGTCCCAGGCCCGGTTCCACGTGGGTGCTAGGGGGCGCTAAGCACCCTCAAACGAAATCAAAAACAACCTTAGTTAAAGCTGTATTAATGACATTTTATTGAATATTTGGTAAACTATCCAGTGCGTTATGGTTTGCGCTCTGGAGATCGATTTCTATGGCATATGTCAATGTGTTTTTGCAGCGTTGAGCAATGTAGCCAATCACGGTCATATGGAGAAGGGTCTGGCTGCAGCCTGGCGCTTGCACTCTCAGACTTGCACTCTCAGTAGGGATGGGCGTATCGATCGAAGGGTCTGGCTGCAGCCTGGCGCTTGCACTCTCAGACTTGCACTCTCAGTAGGGATGGGTGTATCGCTCGATCGACTGACGCGAGTATCGAAAGTATCGATACTCAAACAAAAAAGAAAGATACCAAGGTGCATTTTATTTACCAGTGATTTTGTTTATTTAACAAACAAAAAAAATAATGCGTACAATATGCATTGAATTGGACGAATAACCTTTGTTAGCGAGTAATTGTGTAGGATATAACTATTTTCCTGCTCATCTGAACACACGCAAATGTTGCAAGACAGAACTAATCAATCACAGAGAGCATTCACTTACTGCTGACAGTGCATTCAAAACAGGGCTGCGTTTCCCAAAAGTATCATAAGAAAGCATTAAAGCTTTTGGGAACGGCAGCCCTGAACAATGCTTATCAGAGGACAGAAACAAACATAAATGTTTCAGTTATTTCACAATAAACAAATTGAAATTGTAGCCTACGTAGTTTGTGCAATTACAATTATTTAAATTGAACGTTGAAAGATAATATTGATCATGTTCTATTCTGTAATGTTAATAGAAATCATACACTGTCAGAATAAAAAGTTGCATTTAATGCATGCAACAGCCATTCACTGGCAGTCCCTAATGGCAGTACAACGTATTGCACTAAATCAAAAGTTCAAATGTTACAAATAAGTTAGAATATTAATGTTGTAATACTGGTAGCACTAATATAAAAATCTGATGATATATGTTACAAAAAAGTAACTATTTTGAAATACGTTGATGGTTGTATTTTGTTGTATTTGATCTCAGTATTCCTATCAATGTTGTATAAGGGTTTTTTATGCATAATAGTAACCCTAGAATGTGATCAAACAGTTTAAAATAGCTGGGCTAAGATATATAACAATTTTTATGACTGCAGAAATATGTTAATTCAGTATACACATTATCCCACCGGTTACAATTGTGACTGACCATAAAATAAAAAATGTTCACACACTTTTCCAAAAAAAAAAAAAAAAAATTATTGATTATTTCAAAGGGTTACCAATGACACATCATTTGGATATTTTCATGTCTGGGAAATATTTTGGGATTAAACGGGTTAAAATGCATTTTAAACATAAAGTTAAGTGGTTTTCATTACCCATTTTACTCTTAGTAATGTAATAAATTTCATAATTTAAAAGTTTAGTGCAGAAGTATCAAATAGATATCGACGATACTGCCTTGAAAAATATTGGTATCGTATCGAAAACAAAATAAGGGGTATCGGCTATCCCTAACTCTCAGACACTTGCACTTCCGCTAGCGACGTCAGTCTTTATTATTTTGTTCTATTTATTTATTCTTTTTGTTTGAATTTTACAACAGTAGCCAGGTGGTGAAGACAAGACAAAAGAAACTAAATTACAAAGTCACTTGCACTCTCCGATACCTCATACCTGCGACGTCACTTGCAATCGACACAAATCGTGCATGTTGCCAATGCAGACAAGATGCTGTGGTGGTGATTAAACGATTAAAACTAATTTAGTACCGTAACCTACAGGGTCCTGCAAGCCATCTGTAGGAGAAAAAGACAAGACCTGCAAATCCGTGGCTACAGAACAGCAGAATATGAACGCAATGCACAAAGTCTCTCGTTAAGCGTTTTCCTCCTGTAGAAAAACATAAATACTTAACATGACTTAGTGTATAAAGATGCTATTAAAATATCAAATTCAATATACAGTTTATTACTATAATGAATATGTATATAGTATTTTCCTCCCACACCGCAAAACGTGGCATAATGGACTAAGATGATAAAGACCTAACTCAATGCTCTTGATTATTAAAATATAGCCTACATAACTAATATACAGGCAAGCAGGTGAGCCCAGAATAAACGCAACACGCAAAGTTTCGCTTTAAGCGTTTATCTATATAGAATAAACTGTCCACAGCTCTTTTATTTCATAGTCTTTGTCCATTAAGCTACATTACGTGTTTTATTTATAATGATTTTCTATGGGAGGAAAATGTTTAACGTGCAATTGATTGCATTGCGTTCTGGGCTCGGCTGCTTGCCTGTATGGAGTTGATCCTTTTAAAATCACTTAATGCATTTCATAATGCACATTCATATTTGCTGTTCTGTATATACTTTGAGTCAACAACAAGACATATAGGCTACTGTATTGTCTTTATCATCCGATATTATGCCACATTAAGCATTTTTGCTTTATGGGAGTACAAGTGAAAGTTTGCGCATTGTGTTCATAGCCATCTGTTTGCCTTGTAGTACATTAAATAATAACTATATATGGAATTTGATATTTTAATTGCACTGTTAAGTGTTTATGTTTTTCTACGGGAGAAAAACGCTTAACGAGAGACTGTGCATTGCATTCATATTCTGCTGTTCTGTGGCCACGGATTTGCGGGTCTTGTCTTTTTCTTGCAGGACCCTGTATGTTATA